GAACAGTTGTTGCTTTTGAGAAATTTGCATTGATAAATATAGAAGTTATAAGGTATTTTAGGCATTTTTTTAATTTTTTACAACTACTGGGACTAAGTTAAGAATAGAGAAAAGTGGACCTCTCCCGTTGCTAAGGACAGAACAGAATGCGGGAAGTGATAACTTCGCCCTACATTGGTTTATCGACCCCCCAAGCAACGAATGACTAAGTTTATGAATATGATTATTTTGATGCGGTATCCACCAACACGTAATAATTGGCCGCCATTTTGGATGGCAAGATTCAATGAAGAAGGAATGGAGTAAACTATAAAAATAATTTGTCTGGCAGGTCTGGAACTCTTTCAAGCTACAAAAGTTGGCCAGAAGAAAGAATGGGTGCTACCAAGCATCTCATAAAACAGATTTGGCGCAATGTGCAGTAGATTCTTTACTATAGCTTGCTTTCTGTTTTTGCTCATTGGTTCACCATAGAAAGTTGCTGTCCATGGAATTTATTTCCTTCTCTACCACGCCCACTGCCGTATTTATTCTTGTGACGTAATTCATTCTCAGCTCAAGAGGTCTATACAGCCCACCCACGCAGTTTCCAATCCCTTTATACTCTACTATCTATTATTACGTATTATGCCTCAATTGCAAGACCATGCAAAAATAAAGTGCCACAACAATAACTCTCTCCAAATTAATAAAAAATAATATATATATATAATTCCTTACTTCTTTCAATCTCTGCAGCTAAAAAATTATCTCCGATCTTCCTCAATGCTTGTATTAATGTATCATAAGTTGGACCACCTCTACTCTTTACATCATCAGCTTGTTGCAGCCATGCCTTCAAGCACTCCCCTAGACCGCTACGAGCATCTCCTCTGTTATCTCGCTCAATAACATCAAGTGTACGAGGAAGCAGACCCAGATAAAGACCAAGCTTATAATAATTAAAAACAAAAATTGGGCTAAGCCTCTTTAGTAAATCGAGGATCTCTGCAAAATCATGGATTCCTATAGAAAATGGAAAGAATAATTCATTAACAGAGTATAGCAGACTCAATGGCTAACCTAGTGGCTGTTGTCGTTTTGATTTTTTTATAAAAGGAAGGGGGGTTGCCATTTTAAACTTGGAAAATTAATCTATCTGCAGTATCTGGAACATGTGACTCAATCAGAGGATAGTCAGGCGTGGCCTCACTGGCCTGAGTAGAGTCATAGATATTAGAGTAGGTGAGCATCCAGTATGCAGCATTGTTGCTTGCAACTCGTGGTCAAACCTTTGATGTGGTTGGGCAACATGTTGCATGAAGTAGAGAGAGTCTCAACTTCATGCAACATGTTGCACAACTACATCAAAGGTACTGGCAACAATGCTGCATAGTGGATGCCCACCTTTAGAGCATGAACTCGTCAGATTTTGACTTTTAGTAAAACAAAGAACACATTCTTAAAAGAAACAGACAACAAGAAATAAAACACAAGAAAAGAAGAAATACAGAAGAAATAAAGAGACCAATCAGTCTGAGTCAGTCTCCACATATCATATCATTCATAGGTCCTGTATCAGTAGTAGTCTCACTGTTCCCTGTACATTAGTAAGAGCTTCAGTAGCATAGTCCTTAGTTACATTATGTATTATTAAATCATTAACTGCTACCAGTTCATCTCCAGTCTTTATCTTTGAGTCTTTCTGTAACACTGACTCAGGTAGGATCCTCTTTACGTAAATGGGTACGTCCTCAGTGGGAGAACCCCGCCCACCAACGATACTGAGACCCAGCCCCTGACCAATTCTCCTTTGATAACAACTTAGCCTGTAACTTCAACTCATTACCAAAGTGAAAGAGAGAGATGTAACTAAAGAAGGAAGGGTGTAATATAAATTGTATATAGTTGTGTGTACAATAGTATTCACTATCTAACTTAATTTACTTACATGTATTAGGAAATACCAAGGGTGCCTTTTTTTCGAGGGCTGTAAATTTCGCGGATTTCTTGAAGATTCGCAAAATTACTTATGCGAAAATCAAATTATTACGGTACAAGATGGCAGATGGCATAAATTCATGAAAATTATAT